AAGGTTTAAAGTGATAAAAATCTATCGGATTAAGAAATAAAAAAAACATTACTTCTTTAGAATATATATATATATATATATATATATATATATATATATATATATATATATATATTAAGAATTCTACCCCAAGCAACGCGGGAAGCCACTAGCAGGCAAGGGGTTACAGAGAGTTGAAGCGAGAGCAAAGAGGAGTGATAGAGGAAAGGATGAAGAGAAGTTTAGGGTATAGATCAGGCGAGAAGTGCGAGACATTAAGCTATTGGAGTAGAAGAGACGGCTCGATTTAACAGTTTCGACAGTGAATATATGTGTGTGTGTGGATATGTATATATGTATATGATGGCCGCATTTTCTGGTGGCCACTTTCAGCAGGAAACGCACCGTGTCACAAGTAAAAAACAGTAGCAAAAATTGGTTCATGGAACACGCCAATGTCAAATGGTAATGGTAATATTAGCCTTTTCACTAAAAAGAAACATTTGTCATTCGTTGACCGAAATGTCACGACTGTTTTCGAATGAAATTTATAAAATCTTTCTCTTAAAATTTTTTTGGGAAAAATAGGTTTCTCAGTCCCAGTAGCTGTTATCGCTCTTTCAAGTATTTATGGGGGGGGGTCCCTTCCAAAACTTTTATTTGAAGGGGAATGTAATGTCAACACCTCGATTGTGTCATTATTTTATCTTTCAGTTACATGTGGTATCTATTTTAGTTGTTGCTGTTGTTGGTACTCCTCAATAGATATGGTTTCTATTATTTGGTACCGTTCTTTGTAATTCTGTAGGGCCAGTTCACAATGTTCAAATAGGGATGACCTTTATCAAGTTCTTCAGGCTTTACCGATCAAAGCCTTTTTTCACTACTGATCTTAGGAAGCGGTTGTACACAGCTGATAGTTTAGATATTTCTGAACGGGATTTGGTGCCATGCATTGCATCCATATGAATGTCTCGATGTAACGAGGCTATTTAAGAACATGATTCGAGTTTTCAGGTTGATGTTTTGGTTTCTTGCAGTGTTCGGCAAAGCGACATCTGGAACTGATTATTCTATATTCAATTTCTTTTTTTTTTCCTATACTTAATTTGTTATAACTGATCCATGTGCCGAGGTATTTGAAGTGTTTCAGTCAGTTGTGCCATGTCTAATGGATGTCAGTTATCAGTTATCTCCTGTTAATACCCCTCTCAAAGTTATCCACCGCCTTAACCTGGTATTGAACTCACACTCTTTGGGTCCTGTCACTGGACCTAACTAACGCCTTTATACACTGACATGGCACGTGGAACTAGAACAGTCTACCCCAGTGAGCGAAATAAAGGGTTCAGTTCGACATTCTAACCACCTGAAGAAGGTCGGAGCGTACAACGACCGAAACGTTGTGATAAATATGGCGACAAAGATGAGGAAAATAGTCCGAATAATGCAAATAGTGTTATTTCTTTTTAAAGCAATTTCCTTCACAGTTTTATATGATTCATTTGGTGTAATATTTAACATCCAGGAATTTTATAAAACATAAAAAACTTATGTAAAACTTACAATATAATTTTATCAGGTCGTGAATAAATCAAAAAAGATCGATTAGTTTTATGCAAACTTTGGAAATTGTGTGCCTAACCCGTGAGAAAGCACCTAATCAAGACCGAGGTCTTTAGACACGTAAATGGTTTTACCAACTGCAGTTTGTCGAGGAATAGAAAAAAAAAACCTGATGCCATTAGTCATTTTGGAGCTTATCTTTGATTAGATACACGGTCAATGTAATAGGGCACCCAGACAGGATCGAACTTGCTGCATCATTAATGGGCAGTAAAACTAACTTTATTATTCTGCAAAAGTAACCTTAAAAAAGAAGTCAAGTATGTCCTAAATGCGCACGAAATGCAATGATGACAAGAGCCACGTATTTAACTCGAAACACTTCAACCAATTTAAATTACCTGAACCTTTCCGGGTAATAAAGGAATTTATAGATCTTTTCGCGTTTTCATTGATACATTGCTTTATATTGAATTGGTGAACGTAGGATGTAAAATATACACTTTACTGTCAGATTGAATAAAGTGCATCCCAAATGTATAAAAATATGAATTACAACCGGTCATCTAAGTAGATATAGGCTTCAAATTACTCTCTAAATGTTCATATTTTTTTTTATGCCGGCAAAGATGATTTACTGCTGAATATTTTTGACACATATCAAACTTTGCTTCGTTCCACACAAGAATTACGTAGGTGTATGAAATGACCAATCACAGGCTTCCAACCGGCAAAGTCAAATGACGTCATTTCACAGTCGCTCATTCCTACTCATCAACAAGTAGTTTTTTTTATTTATTTCTACATTTACTTCGCTTAACATTCTCAAATAATTAGAATTGTTTTCACATATTTTTAATTTTAAAACCGACCATCTAACTGGGTCCATTAAAAAGTTGTCTCAGGGAGATAAATTCCAAAAATGCATCGTCATTCAGGGGACATAACTTTCTGTTTGCAGAGCCTTACATAAATTTCAGATGTAAATATACAGTAAAGTGTGTCCATGGAATGCTGAGATGTAATTAGAGTCTTGGTTTTGAAGGGTAGAACATCACTTGTCTGAAGAGATGAAGGCATCCTATGTTTTAATAATTACTAGTATCGATTGTGTTCGTATTTTACTGGAAATTTCCACCTATTCCCCTCGGATCCCAATCTACCATTGATGGAGACATCATCCAACAAGTAGAAAGTGGCGTCTTAAGAAATCGTTGCCTAACCATTCGGGGCTGTGCCAAGATTAATGTGGCGTCTGTGGAATAAGTCATCCATGAAGATTTGAAATTAGGACAAGTGTCAGCACAAAGGTTTCCTTGTTTGTTCACGACTTTCAAGAAGTAAACTGAAGTTAATTATTCACGTAAACCTTCAGCCATGTTTGAGGACAACGAAGAGAAAATGTTTGTCTAATTATATAAATTTAAATATGGGTTCACCAATTTAAGCCAGAGACTAAAATCCAGTCCAAAGAATAGAAGCCCACCCACCAACCAAAAAGGTACGCGTTCAATCTTCTGCAGGCAAGATGATGCTCACAGTCGTCTGTGACCAAAAACACGCGCCGATTATGGATTTTCTGGCTAAAGTTACCACAAAACCCCGGACTGCTTATGCTTTAAACTCGTTAAAGTTACGGAAATTCATCAAAATCTGAAGTCGATTTATGCTCGGCATAATTATGTTGCTAGACAATGCGCCATGTCGAATGAAAATAGAAGTATATTCCTCTGGCTACAAAATTCTGCCTTAACCCTACTATTTTCCTGATCTGGGGCCATTTTGATTGGCATACGTTTCTCTCACTGAGGTTAAATTTGAAAGGAAGACACTTCCAAGATTCTAGTGATTAATAGGGTTCAGTTACAACTTAGCGAATTCTACAAGAAAGTTCTTTACAAGTGCATTAAACAATCAGGAAAATGTTTAACTCTGGGTGAAATCTGTGAGATAAAACGTAATGGATGTGCTAACATTCGGGATTCCATCGACTAAGTCAAAAATCACTAATGAACGCTCCATGTATTTTTCGTTTTACTAAAAAGAGAAGAGATTTTGTCACGTGTGTTTCCTTTTTCCTTGTCTCTTTTAAAAAGACTGCTAATGAATTTGAATCGATAATTGATAATATTTCAATCTTGCGATAGAGTATTAAAACCATGATTTTCTGAAAACTTGGCAAAATCCATCTCATTCCATTCATACATCCATTTGTTCACAGTTGGAAATTCCCAATTTCTGCTACTTTCCTTTCACTATTTTGTGAATATCTTTCTTACATATTTTTGGCATCTTCTTTATCTTTCTCTATTTCTCGTTCAGTTGCACAAGCTGTCCACGGGAGACACAGTAAAAGCCGTTCCGGAAAAGGCCCCGAAACGATGTATAGATTCTTGTTGATAAGTGTGGACAACCGATCACCTGGGTGAAGGAACACACACACACACACGCACACACACACACACACACACACACACACAAATAATAATCAGTGTTTAAGATGAAGGCATTGAAATCTTGAAAGTAAAAGTGATTAATAATTTGTTTATAACAGAACTTTGTAGAAATTCGCTTGTCTCAAGGGAATCAGTGCAAAGCGAGACGTTCTTCGCCATCTTTTTACGTCTGCACTTCGAAAACTGCCATTTCTCGTCGTTGTTTTTCACTGATCCGACATGAATTGTAACTGAACATTCCAATCAATAGCTAGTTTGAAAGTTTTAAAATGACACTTGAGCCTTTTGTGCATCGTTTTGCTTCTGCATTGAATGGCAGAATTCCTATTGAAATAGCTCTGATTGATATTCCGACTGATCGAAATCGGCTGCTTCAACTCTACCTTGCTCGTTGACTCTCTCGGGTTGCTTCGCGTTCACCCTTGATAAAACGCCTTCTTTTGTTCTTTTAGGTTTACAAAAGCTTTCATTAGATACGTGATGGATGCTTTTGCCTTAGAATATATCTTAAGGGTTATTTTCTTAAAATCTTATAAACTAACAAAAGAAACCAGACGTTGACGTTAGCAAAGAAAAAGTTGTTGGTATTCGTTTTACAATAATTATTTACACATGTGTTTCTCCGTCTTCAAAATATATTCACCCCGACAAACAGAGAGAGAGAGAGAGAGAGAGAGAGAGAGAGAGAGAGAGAGAGAGAAGAGAGAAGAAAGGTAAATCAAATGTAGACGTTGATGTGATGATCTCGCAATCTATTTATAATGATTGGTTGATTGATTCGTTTTCGACAGTTTATCAATTCTTCGCAGATTATTTAAAACCTTTTTAGATTGTAAGAACTTTTTAGAGATAATAATTATTTAGTGATACATAACTTAATAATTCACCCAGAGCTGGAAGGTATTTGCACCTGAGTGAATATAACGAACCCAACGGGGATTGGAACTCGGCACTCAACAATTCCGAGCCATTATCCATTACAACACCCGCACATCTAAGCTTACAGGACCTGGTATTCCCAAACAGTTACCCATCTAGATACTAACCAGGACCGATGATGCTTAACTTTAGTGATGATACGGGGACCGGTGTTTCAACCTGATATGGCTGTAA